CGGTGAAGATGAGAGCGATGGCAGAGATGATGGCAGTGGTTCGGAAAAACATGTTATCGATGAGTGGTTAGGTTCTGAGTTGTTTGAGCTCAAGTAGGGGAGACCTTTTATACCATCTTTGCCTTTGATGACGCCGTATGTTTGTGGGTCGATGTGTCAGTCCAAGAAACCTGGCCCGTAGGCTTCATCGTAAACAACTCAAACACGTCGGGATTCGACTCCAAATTGACTCCAGCCGACTCTATACACCCAAGTTTTTAGAGCTCCGTCTACAGCAGTGGTTGGTGTATACCCACTCCCTGATATCATCCGCAACAGACCATTTAGATTGATTTTCGGAACTTTCACGTTTAGAGGCGGGCTACCTCTACGCACAGCTAATGCGGCTCCATCAAGATGAGATCCCGTATTCACCAGCTTGCCATAGTGACAGTGCACGGGTTACGAGCAATTTGAAGTCAAGTTGAGTCGGAGTGCTTGTGATATTGACGAGCCTCACAATATGACGGCCAGCTCATGGGCTACTTGACGGTTCAGAGAAGATCTGCCGATGATCCATTGTGTTGATTTGAGCCGAGGACAAAGAGATAGAGAACCCTTCAGACAAATCACCCACACCTCGCTTTACCCGACTCAACGCGAACAATGATTCCTTGAAGAATAGCCGAGAAGATTCAGCAAATCCCGCACGTGGAGTTGAAAAATGACGATCAAACGTTTGTTGGTGCTCATTAGGGTGTATTTGCCAGGTTTGAAACTAAAATTTTTTGTTTAGTTTCAAAATCCGAAATTTCGTGAGCGGAGCCGCCCCGCCTCGATAAATACAAAACACAAAACTCGTACGTACAAAATTTCTCCCAAATTCACGCAAACAGTCTCGTCACCAAGCGCCCTTAGCTTGTTCCCTGCGGGTCATTCCCCAGGCAGATTTGGATGCGCCTTGGATATATCAAGTCAAGGAAGCTGGCATTACCATGGCCGCTGCTTTTTGAGAGGCCAGCGTGCTTGATGATGAGTGATTCTGGTAGTTCATGCAGTCGCCAACAGATAGGTGCAGGCCCCACACATAATTTTCCTGAAATTTTGGGATTGTGGGGCCGAAATTTACACAACTTTTGACGGCTCAAAATTCCAGTTACAACTTCCTAAAATTTCGTTACGGCAGGTAGTTTCAAACCTGGCAAATACACCCTATTGTACTCCGAAAATTTTCGGGATATCGCATACATGCGTTGTTCGGTTGAGAAAGAGGAATTGAGAATATCACGGAAGTCGGTTAAATCAAGTTTCAGTTTCAGGTCAAACCCCACCTACCACCCAGTCGGATTAGGTCAACGATGATCATACAATCCTTGGAGCTCATCGTTGTATACACCGCAAAGCGGGAGAGCCCTGCCGAATTCGCACGGGCGTTTGATGGCGGGATTCGGCTAGGCAGCTTCGGGAGATTGGCGCGCTCAGTTACAGCCACCCAGCCATCTAAAGGGGTTATGAGCTTTGACCGAGTGCCGTTAAACTAGGTGTCACAGTGGTCTAATAGTCCTTCAAAGAGTTCTCGGTGTGTTTGTTCCCTTATTTGAAGATAGTGGAGTCGGACGTTTTTTCCACAAACCTCGAAGGCCTCGCCACATCAACTTGCAGCTTGGGAGAGTCATAAGATGAAACTAGGTAATGTTTGCATAAGTCAATGATTGATTTCTGTTTGCCTGGAGTAACACGATCAGATAGCCGTCCAACGAATATACATGAGTGCGTAAAGCCTGATTGGACAGTTGGACTCTTCCCTGGGGCTCCATGGAACTAATCTTATTACTCCGAATGTATGGATGGCTGTAGAGTACGTCTATAGTTAGCTCAGGAATTGACGAAGGGTCCTGCTCTCATCCCGTCGACTCAAGTAACTCGCAACGCACGGCCGTTTCAACTTCGGTACATCCGCAGGCATTTGGAGTCAAGTGGGGCGGTTTCCTATGTACTATCCCTCGGACTCATCCCAAGTCATTTCTGGCAGTGAGCCTCCAAGCTAAACGTTGATCGAACAATACTGACTTCCGATGCTTTTAGCCTGTGTCGACCAGGGCGGAAAGTTGACCTGCGTCGGCTGAACTAACTATGTAACCTAGGGGACGGAAGGAATGAAAGAAGTTTATCTCGATACAGTACTGTTATTCCGACTCTGTAATTCGTATTCAATTAACTGCTCCAACGGAGCTTCATTCAAGTCAAACTCCACTAGCCAATTTAATGAGATGAAATTTCAATGAACCTTGGATCAGCGCCATTTCTCCGAAACGCTAAAGCGAATCCGACTGAGCATTCGAAGCTGTCGGCGCTACATTCAACGCTCTCACCCGAACCAACAAAGCGACATCACGTACTGAGATCAAGACTCCCCAACCTATTATTCACAGTAAATGCATTGGTCGTGAAAATCTTTGAGTTCTGGCGTAACAATAAACAATACCATGACCTGGCGAGGTATACCCCTTGTTGATTTTTGAGGAGGTCTTTCGCGGCACAGCTTAGTGGATAACCTATCCCCCTTACTGATTCGGCTCCAAAACCGACCAAATTAGATCCGCCACGGGATGAATAGTCTTGTCGGGGGTCTCGGGGACAATGTAGATTAGAGAAATCGCGACCGCTGGTGCTCTTGCGGCGCTTGACACCGAACAGTAATGAACAGTAATGTATTATAAACGTTGGGTGTTGAGTTGAGTACCAATTACCAGGCCGGCACAGATTTGTAAAATACATGACGCGGGCTGTGGCCTGACGGGAGTTCCAAGGTTGAATTTCAGCTTTCTTGAGTCTGAGATTTTTTGGCCCCACCACCTCAGGATCTCGATTGAAGAGATAATGATTACACACACTTTGGAGTCATCACCCGGCGACGCCCCACAGGGAGTGAAAGATGAAGGTATAGCCAACGATATTGCCGAAGTAGCAAGGTCATTGCCTTCCCCAAAATTGCTGGGATCGTACAATCCAGCACGGGATGAGCGGTGAGGCCGAACGCAATTACCTGATGGCTGCGGGAAATCTTCCCTGACAACGAACTCTAGAGCTGGCGCATCGAGTCATGTCACGTATATGATGTTGACTTGATGAGAGTTTCACTATTCCGCCATGCAGGTATCGTTTTTTTATAGCTCATGATACTTCTCTCGGGGCGTTGTCCGACCAATCGCGGTCAAAGTCAGATTCACTTACTCACCTAATTTTCAAACCGTGATTCACGTAACTCTCATGAAACGGGGGTTCGCGTGATTCAATGGTAGCTTCTTCTTTGCTCGCTTTCGATGGGATTGGAGTAATACGGATGTTGGATGGCAATCACTGAATCAAGATATGTACACGTACATGTACAGTGCGCAATTCAGTTCGGTAAGCTCCAAAGGACTATTACGCTTGTAACTTGAGTTGTTTGAACCAATTATAGAATAAGTTCATAGTTAATACGACAACTGGCGACAAACTTGAGAAAGGGTCCCTCCGTCATCCCGTGTACTCAAACAGTTTGCAGAACACGGCTGTACTCACTACTTCTCTGTTTACCCCAAGCAATTTGGAGTCCGTTGGAGTTGTTTCCGTTGTACCCCCCTTGACTCATACAAATAATGTCAAAGAGTGTTCATGTACAGTATAAAAGCCCCTTTGAGTCAACCTCTGAAAACCAGAATCCATCCAATCAACACAACCTCCAACACCGACCACTACTCTCATCACCATAATGTTCTTCCGAACTGCAACCATCGTCTCTGCCCTTACCCTCCTCTTCGCCGGTCAGGCCATGGGAGCTGCCTTGATCGCCACTGACCCGGGTAAGGAATTTTCGATCCGAATTCACCAATTACTCACCGTACCACCTCTTTCTTTCAGTCTCTGCTTGTGGCCCGCCCAACAACAGCGACCATCATGCCGGAAGTAGCTGCAAGTACTACGCAGGACCCTCAGACTCCTCCCAAGTCATTTCTGGCAGTAGGTCTTCGAATTTAGTGTCGATCGCAAAAATGTTGACTTTGAATGCTTTTCAGCCTGTGTCGACCAGGGTGGCAAGTTGACCTGCGTCGGCTGAACGAGCTGGGGAGTAGAAGGAATGAAATAAATCTTGATATCTATCGTTATTCCGACTGTGTAATAATGCCATATAATTGTGCGCTTCTAAATATTTCGGGTGTGCAATGTCGGAAAGCGCTTTCTGCCACGATGAACGATGAGGCATCATACCAATCGACTTGTCCCGAAACCTAGCGAATCTCAGTATCTTTTCTTTGACAGTGTATCCAATTTTTCAAGTAGTCGAAGTGAGTATACTCGAACACGAAAGGATATCATAAAAATTGTGAGGCGGTAGTAAAATATATGCCCTACTATATCTCCCCGGCTGGGAGTCGAACTCAACTTTCGCGCATTCAAATCGAAGATACTCCAGGCCATAAAACAAGTGTGTACTAATCGACGGACTCCCAGGGAGTTTGTTTTGTTGCCCCCGGAGAGTACAGATCCCGACCTCATTGCTCTGGGGGAAGTACTTGGCAAGGGAGCCTTGTAAGAAACTATATTCCACATTAATTCAGCTAAAAACCAGAACACACATTGGCTATTGAACAACAACCTTGTCGGGTGTCCGGACACGGACTGAGTCGTAAAAATGCCATTGTTGCGCATCTGAATAATCAGACCTTCACGTCAATGATATTCGAACAGCGCAAGTGACTTCTACATCTCCTTCCATGAATCGCTCACAAATACAACCTCAAGACAATCTCTCAAGCTAGCGGAACCAGGTTCCCGATGCTCGCAATTATCTTTCACGCTCTGACTCTACGGCAGAATCAAAGTAATTCCCCGGGCTGCATTTGACTGAACGCAATGCGGAGTCGAGATTCATTAAAGATAAGAAGATAGGTAGAACCGGTGGCTCCGATTCCACGCGGCAGGGTTGGAACGACTAGGGAGCTAGGGAGAGTCAAAAATTTCAGAATCGGCTCTTTAACCTCCCTGGCTGGGAGTCGAACCCAGCTTTCGCGCGCAGATTGACATGCGAATACTTCTTTAATGACAGGCGCGTGTACTAACCGATATACTACCAGGGAGTTATGTGGTAGGAACCCAGCAAAGTTGATATCGGCATCTTTCGAGGTTTGTGAGTCCGCCCCATGGAAAAGCAACAGAATCGAAGCCAGCACATACCTCATCCCGAAGAACTCCCGAGAAGTGTAAAAGGTCTAAACCTCGGAAGGTGAGGTTATAAGGAGAAGAGAAGGCATTGTCGTGTGCCGAACTTCGGCGACTGGCAAGATATCCATAACCCGCAGAACCCTACAAGCGATTCTCCGTTTCACACAAAAACAGAATCCTGCAGCGAGTTTTATGGGGGTAAAGAAGATTCCGAAACACGCTAACCTGAATGGTCTATTCCATATTCACTGTTTGCCGTCGAATGTACTTTCTCTCGTTGTACGCCGACGGCAAGCTACATACTTCAACCCAGGAGATCCGGGTTTCAAGATCACAAACTTGGGCTTCGGGAGTAAGAACATTCCTCGCGAGTCGCCGTTCCGCAAGCAAATGGAACTCCGTAGTAAGTAGCAATAGATTAGGAGTCGGGTTAACAAGGATCGGAAATACGCACTAGCATGAATGGGTTCTACTCACCAGAGATAAGAAGAACGTAGGGTACGGATATGACAATGCAGAGTTTTATTCAGGAACCCAGAGTCCTCGATTCATGGTCATCGGGGACTTCCAAATCCATACAATGCACCTCAAGCGTCGTTCGGCTACCTACTACATACAAAACGCAGAATCCGAGCGGCAGAAAGACTCATCAAAAAGTAATGATTATCCTTTGGAACTGTTAACTATGGACCACCCCTCAATCATGAAAAAAAAACCTCCATCACACCTATACACATCTCCCTGGCTGGGAGTCGAACCCAGCTTTCGCGCGAAGACGTTGCGCATTATTTACAATGACAGGCGCGTGTACTAACCGATATACTACCAGGGAGTTGATTACCTCGTCTTGATAGGAACCATATCCATATCATCCATTGAGCTTAGAGGTGCTTTGTGAGTTTCCCCCTGCGCCGTGTGGGTATGTAAGATCAAAAATCATCGACGTTTGGGGCTAGGCTTCCAAACTTGAAGGCCCAGATCCTCGGGAGTCTAGGATAAAACGATTTGCCAGTGCCACTGAGAAGCTATTGCCGTTCGCCGTCGGATACAAGTTCTCTCTATGTATAATTTTGTACGCCGACAGCGGCACTCTCGGATATCCATAGCCCGAAGTCACGCAACGGAAGGCCGCAGGTGGGTGGAGGGAAAACCCATCGGAAATACGCATATCTGAAGGGATTTGTGTTTAGCTTTGCGGAGTCCAATGAGAGCCCAGACGTTGAAAATGAAGGCGCTCATTAGGGGACCGGCGGGCCGACAACACCAGCGGAGCGCCAATCCCGAAGCTATACTTGTGCCTGAGTCAGTGGGTTAGGGTTTGACGCGCTCTTACCTAGACCTCCATGTCCTTCGCGTTATCTTGACTGACGACCCAAGTCGTGGTTTTTACGGATCCTGAGGCTATGCTGAAGGTAAGCCCTCGGTATCTATATTCAATCTTACACTTCAACGACATTTTGCAGCCGCGTTAGCACGTCAATGGAGACGAGCTAGGAGTGGGAGCATAGGCGACAGATAGTAAAGAAAATTGGACGGACATGATTTTTGTCTACGTCTCGTGCGTCCTTCACACCGGATACTTGCTCTCATACCGTATCTGATCCGTCCTTGTTCCACGCCCGTCAGAATCGGACCCTGGTTGGGGTGTGAAGACGGGATTTTTAGTCTTGTGCTGACGGGTATCACGACCTATAGAAGAGAAAAACCTTCCCTCGACATCTCTCCCAATGGAAAGATGATCTTCGCCTCCAAGATGAGCTTGCAGGTCACCTTTCAATGCGTTTCTCCGCACCATTCAAAATGCCAATACAATTTCATAGCTCCTGCCCGTTGCCCAGCGAATAGAACCCTCGGCGCCAACAACGACGGGATGGTCAGCTGGAGAACGCAAAAGTTAGTTTAGTTTGGAGTATGGGCGGCGTGCGTCAAGGAGGTCAGGTGGATAGGTCGGTGTTTTTTGTATGTCTCGGTCTTGGTGACGGTTGTATCTGATGGCGCGAATCTTGTTCAGGATTTTGTTGTAACCCCTGGGGCCGCCGAAGAAAAAGTCTCACACGGCTTGTAATAAATCTGAATGGCGTAATTCACTGGCAAGATTTGTATTTGGCACCCACAATTCGTCTACTGTTCGGAACCCCGCAACTCCTCCTTTCCTCCTCTCTTCATCTCGTATCCGAGTATGTCGTTCTCCTAAACCCTGTAGAATGTTCACGCGAGCAATGCCGAGCCGCTAGTATGTATGTGGGGAAGGGAGGGGCGGCTTTCCGGACATTGAATTCCGTGTGCCTAGGGACGGTTCGGCTTGGCATCTCGGGAAAGCCATCAATCTAAAACGCCCTAACGATCCGCAAATGGTATGTGGGGAATTTATTGGTGTTTTTCTGGGCTAAAATGTGACGCCGTTTCTCCAATGGCAAAGATCCACTTGGTCTCGGTGGGTCTGGTCCCCCAAATCCTCCAGTCTGGTGACGGTGTGGAGGTGGAAGTGGGTAGCCTGTCTCGCGTATTCGTGTTCGTGTTCGTTCTTCCGCTCAATGTCCACCTTGTCGAGCATTTTAATTTATATCCGTTTTACTACTCTCCTCTCAAATGAACACTATTCGATTCGTTACAATTACTTACCGTTGGCCAATGTCGAAGGAAAAGCGCCAAGTGACATTTGTGATATTTGATTTGAATTTAATTTCCGTCCCTCTTAGATCGGAGTTAGGTGGTCAACTGATCACTTGATCTCATTTTACCCCACAATTCGTATATATAAGCCGGTGTCCCAATCTAATTTCAATCGATAACGCCCTTTCCTCTCTTTTCCCCCTTTACCCGCGATGTCTGAAGAAGCTATTCCAACTCACCCAGTGGGCCCTCGCGTTGCTAAAGGAGACAAGAAGCCCCACGTTGGACCTGACAGAGAGGCTTATGAGAATGCGCACAAGCAGACTGTAGGCGACGCTAGCGACGAATGGTGGGCCAAGGTGCGCCATTTTCCCTTTCATCTCATCCTCGTCATCTAAACTAACTTTCCTTCTCATTGTATTAGACCGCCCGTGAAACTCTACACTGGTTCCGCGATTTCCAAACCGTCCAACACGGTACCTTTGAAGAAGGCAACATCACCTGGTTCCCCGAAGGTCAACTCAACGCCTCCTACAACTGTCTCGACCGCTGGGCCTTCAAACACCCCGAAAAAACAGCTATCATCTACGAAGCAGACGAACCGAATCAACACGAGTACATTTCCTACGCTAAACTCCTCGACGAGACTTGCAAGATCGCCAACGTGCTCAAGGGGTTCGGTGTGAAGAAAGGGGATACGGTTTCGGTGTACCTTCCTATGACGTGGTACGCTGTAGCTGCGTTCCTGGCTTGCGCACGTATCGGTGCTATCCACTCCGTTGTCTTTGCTGGGTTCTCCTCCGAATCGCTACGAGATCGGATCGTCGACTGTAAATCCAGAGTTCTCATCACTTCGGACGAAGGGAAACGTGGTGGGAAGAGCATTGCGACCAAGGCGATCGTGGACGTTGCGTTGGATAGTCAAGAGTGTAAAGGAATTGTGGAGAAGGTGGTCATGTTGAAGAGAACCGGGAATCAGGTCAATTTCGTGGAGGGGAGGGATCTCTGGTGGCATGAGGAGACTGCGAAGGTTTCGGCGTATTGTCCACCTGAAACGATGAACTCTGAAGATCCATTGTTTATTCTCTACGTGCGTTACCATCTTATTTCTCTTCAAGTACCTTGCTGACATTTTTGGTTATTGTCCAGACATCTGGATCGACTGGCAAGCCCAAAGGTGTCGTTCACACGACGGCTGGATATCTTCTCTGCGCAGCCTTGACCGTCAAAAACGTGTTCGATGTTCACCCCGACGACAAGTTCGCCTGTATGGCCGATATCGGTTGGATCACTGGACACACGTACGTTCTCTTTTCTCCTTTCCTAAATCGTCTTTACTCATCGTTAACCCTCTAGGTACATCGTCTACGGTCCCCTCGCCAACGGCGTAACCACCACCGTCTTCGAAAGCACACCCGTCTACCCAACCCCCTCTCGTTACTGGGAAACCGTTCAAAAACACAAACTCACTCAATTCTACTCCGCCCCGACTGCGATTCGGTTGTTGAGACGTCTCGGCCACCAACACGTCGAGAACCACGATCTATCCTCCCTCCGAATCCTCGGTTCCGTAGGCGAACCTATCAACCCCGAAGCCTGGAACTGGTATAACGAACACGTCGGTCGTAAGGAATGTTCCATCGTCGACACCTTCTGGCAAACCGAAACCGGGTCTATCGTCATCACTCCCTTCCCCGGAGCCATCCCAACCAAACCAGGAAGCGCCACTGTACCGTTCTTTGGACACCTACCTGTGCTTTTGGATGCGACGAGTGGGAAGGAGGTCGCGAGCGTTGGGGGGAGTGCGGGGAATGGGTATAGAGGTGGGGAGGAAGAGGTGGAGGGTGTGTTGGTGTTGAAGAAGAGTTGGCCGAGTATTGCGAGGACGATTTGGGGTGATCATAAGAGGTATTTGGATGTTTATATGAAGGTTCGTCCTCCTCTCTTTCCCTCCCTTCTCCTCTTTTCGATTTACTCACCTCCCTTTGTAGCCCTACCCAGGCTACTACTTCACTGGCGATGGCGCCGCTATCGACAAGGACGGATACATCTGGATCAAAGGTCGTGTAGACGATGTTATCAACGTTTCGGGACACCGGATGTCGACAGCTGAGATTGAGAGCGCGTTGATCATGCACAAGGGGGTTGCGGAGACGGCTGTGATCGGTGTGAACGATGAGTTGACGGGGCAGGCTGTTGTTGGGTTCGTTACGATGAAACCGTGAGTTCCTCTTCCTCTACTTTCGTTGTGGTTGAGGGTGGGATAAACTGACAATGATTGGTGTCGGTAGGGAATTCAAATACGACCCTTCGAATGAAGAAGCGTTGGTTAAGGAGCTTGTGATCCAAGTTCGAAAGACGATCGGACCGTTTGCAGCTCCGAAGAAGATTTATATCGTTCCTGATCTTCCGAAGACGAGGAGTGGAAAGGTCGGTCGTCGCTCGTTTCTGTCTTATACCCGTGCGTGTATATTGATCGTTTTCTCCCCCCGTCTAGATTATGCGCCGAATCATGCGCAAGATCGTAGCAGGTGAAGGTGACCAGCTCGGTGATCTGTCGACTGTTGCAGAGCCTGGTGTAGTTGATGTGATTAAGAAGAAGGTTGCGGAGGGGAAGTAGGGTATTCTCGTTTCGGTCTCGTTTCGAATTCGGGCTGAGTTTGTAAGTTATATATCTTGGGGGTATCCGATGGAAAGATTGTATTACTTTGTTTCTTTGTTACTCACTTCACACGAAACGAGGGAAAGCACGACTACTCAGGGGGACAATACGTAGGTGCGGGCGATGATTGAGGATTGTAAGAGTCAGAGGTCTCCAGTTCGAGTTGTTAGTCGATGATGTCCGCCTCCAGGCCTGAAGGAGAACGCTAGGGCAGATGTAGATTATCCGCTCAGCCGGTAGACAGACCACAAGTGCAACTTTCTTTCTTTCGCTTCCTATATACAGTATATTGTACAAACTTACTACTCCATAATTGGGGTTGGTACGACTCTCTCCTCCCCCTCAAAAGCAGGCAAATCGGTGCCTAAAGAGTAGCGGTCAAATCTAAGGTATGGTCAGCGTGTGATAGCAGATACTTGGAGATTGTAAGAGATATATACCTTCTTTGTCACTACCCAAAACCAAGCAAGCTGCCCACAAAAGGCTAGTTTTACAAAGGGTCGATACCAAGGAAGTCCCCGGCCTGGGTTTTCCGAGGTGCCAGGCTTCCTACGTGAGGGGAATCTACAGTTAATCTTCCGTGATGACAGATAAAGGTTTCCAAGTATATATCTTTATTGTTTTCTTGTCTACAATGAATGAACGTATCAGTACCAGCGTAGTTGGAGGTTGGGGAAAACAGAAAAATCACGACTTACTTTCCGCCTACTAGCAAGGTGCCGAGCTCTCCCTCAGGGCCGAGCAAACCACCCACCAAGTCCCCGCCCAGCAATCCACCTGGCAAGTCTCCGCCCAATAAACCACCCAACAAGTCTCCGCCGCCAAACACGTCTCCTCCGAGCGAGCCTACGGGAGAAGGACGTAGTCAATCTTGAGGATAGGAGCTAGAAACGTCAGGTGCATATACCATCTTTGTTGCTTTTGTTTCACAAAGACATCGAGTCAGCATAGTCAAAACGGGAGGGACGGGGAAGACCTAGTACGCCGACTTGGTAGCGTCAACACCGAATTTCCCATCGCCACCTGAAGTATCAGTGCGATGTATGACACCGGCTAGGGCAGCGGGAAGGAGGGATGCGAGAAGAGCGAAGCGTTTGAGGTGTATCGTAAGGATGATAAGAGACTCGGAGGAGGGAAAAGAGTCTGCTTTATGTGCATCTGACATCTACCATTACGGTAACATTGTATATTGTGAAAACAGAAGTGATTTACAAGAATGTACTGGGGCCGGATCGTATGGGGCTGAACAGGTTCATATCAGCATTTCGATCCATTACGCGAAAAGGAGAACAGTGAACACAAGAGGAATGCAGGAACCAAGGTTTGAATTTGAGCGTTCGAGTAGCCTCTACAGCGACATGTGCCGACGCCTCCAAACTGAACTAACTTTGCGTTTTTTAGCTGACCATCCCGTCGTTGTTGGCGCCGAGGGTTCTATTCGCTGGGCAATGGGCAGGAGCTATGAAATTGTATTGGCCGTTTTGAATGATGCGGGGAAACGCATTGAAAGGTGACCTGTTAAGCCCATCTTGGACGCGAAGATCGTCTTTCCATTGGGAGAGATGTCGAGGGAAGGTTTTCTCTTCTATAGGTCGTTAAATCCGTCATTGGTTATGCAATGCACAAGACTAAAAATCCCGTCTTCACACCCCAACCAGGGCTTCCTGGAAGAGAACAAACCCAGTAGGGCTACTTATTTCTGAAACCCTCCTAAACCTTACTCCCATATTACTCATTAAGGGGTTCCACTTCCTCGTGGAACAGAGACAGATAATAACCAACTTGTGAGGTTAAATATGCCAATCCCGAAGTCGGTACGATTGAACTCACAAAGTTCGACTGGCATGCACCAATGCCTGCTCTTCTCCTTACTTCTATTCTGAACTCACGATGTCTGAATTCTGAGAGCTTCCGAGCGGAGATACTAAAGTGCTATGGATGTTGCCGTCGGCGTGGGTACAACGAGAGAAATTGTGAACGAAAAATGACTTCTTCTTCAACCCAGACTCCGGGTTACTGAGCTTCTGGAAGCACCGCACCTGTGATACAGAGAGCCAAAGTACTTCAACCTTTGCTACTGTAAAGGTGGGATACTTACAATTTGTTCCGTCTTGCTTCCAAACTAGATTATCGATAGATGAATAGAGTATCTCTATGATAATAGGTAGGAACTCCCTGGTAGTATATCGGTTAGTACACGCGCCTGTCATCAAATGCAAACATTGTGACGTCTTCGCGCGAAAGCTGGGTTCGACTCCCAGCCAGGGAGATAATGTCAGGCCAACTTGGAATTTTTTTCTTTCTCCTCAGCTCGTTGGTCGCTCGAACCGGGCGGAATCTTAGCTAGCCACCCGGCTTCGATCAATCCTGACCCTAGTAGTACTTATATTACGATCCGTCAAATACGGTAGTCCGGGAACAACGTTTATTTGTTCCTGCCGTTCAGTCGGAGGGAGTGAAGCTCGAAGGCGATGGCGAACGCTTGGATCCGGGTTCCCCTAGCTTGAAAGCCTGTCTTGAGCATTATATAGGTGAGCATTCACTTGCGTTGCTCAAAAATCATCAACATGATCTGATTAGTCGGAAGCGCGTCGAGGCAACGAGGCGGTGGATATTGTTGAGATTCTCCGGTCGTATAGTCTGATCTTTTGAGTGGCCACAAGGCTCCATGCATTATAATCGGTCAAAACCTCTCCGAGGCTCCGGTACTGTACCAGTTAAAATTGGTCCTATTGCGACCTTGATGTCGGTAGGTGCCTAATGTATATGCACCCGAGCTAGACCATTCAAATCTTGATACTTATGATGAAATTACCAGGGATTTGCGCCAATATTAATCATTGTACAGGTTGTGTACAGGAATTCCGTCAACAGTGCTCAGCAAATGATCTCAATCCATGTTCCTGAGCAATAATTTTAGCAGGAGTCCAGTCCAGACACAAGGTTAGCTCGAGGGCTTGGGGATGCTGGTTCTCATTATCTCGATGACGAGCCAGGGTATCACTGATGCATAGAGCAAGGAAGGGAAACCTGTGAGAAAAATGCGCGAGAGCCAGATAATTCAGTTTGCTAGAACCGTCAGCGAGTCCTCAATTATTTCATACTTTTTACGCTTTTCCCTTCCATATTGTTTTTTTCTTTTGCCGCAAGAAAGAATGAGAGAGGGGGGGGAGGAGATTGTGCCCAAGATTTGAGTCAAAGCGCGTCACAGCAAGCCATATGCATCTTGCTGTGCGTATTCTCCGTTTCGGGCAAGTCGACTAGTACGGCATTCTCGTACTCATACACAGAGTTGTAAGGTTTTCGGAATCGTGGTACATAGAGTCGCTGTTCAATTCGCAATCGTATCAATTGCGATTGTGAAACCGTGAGAGCCTGGCACTCGCAACCGTTTGACCCTCACTTAAACTTTGGTTCAGGCAACTTTGGTGTAAGGCCAGTCAATAGCCAACTGCCACCCGCACGTCACGTTGACCACATACTGGTTACTCCCACAGCTGGGACAAAAACTCATTTTGTTGCGGAATACGAAGCAGAAATATGACGCCTCACTTTCCGGTGAGTATTTTTGCTGCCAAATATGCTGAGTACAATTCAATTTCGACTATTTCCAGCTCGAATATGTGTTGAGCTGTGAGGCGTCATATTTTTCTAGCCTATTTCCGTGTAAAAATAATTTTCACGCCCAGCTGTGTCCGGCTTTTGGCCGCGCCTCCCCTTCGTTGCCCGAAGTTGTAGCGTAGTCAGCCAATATTATCATTTATCAATTATCACGTATTTTTTCATCTTCAAGTACATGCAGAGTGCGCAAATCAAAGTAGAATGGATATTGGACTTAGAAAGCATATGGGAGCTTCATCTACCACAGGTTGTAGAATGAGGCAAATTTGAGCAAATGACCCGGATGGCTCAGCACAGCAAAAACTTGCCATTGATGGCTCTGATGGCCCGTGCGCAAACTTTCTAATAACTTACATCAACAGGGCCCAATAGTACGAATTGACTTAGTAGTAGCACCGCAGCAGAGTTTTGAGAGATCATCATTATGTACCATCAAATTATTGTCCGGGGGCCTCCTCACGAGGCCTTGGCAGCAACTGGGCGAAACACAGGATCCCTTTTCGTGCAGTATATCTAGATGCGGCTGCCACGTTCAACCCCCCACCCAATGTCATTGCTTCGACTTCTCTTATTCACCTTTGCACTCTCCCCCTTATCCCTACAATCCTCACACGCAAAAACCGTTACACGATATATCGACGATACCTATGGCGACCTGGTAACTGGGATGAAACCCTCCTACTACCCATCAGGAAATACGATATGGCAAGACCAAAGTTGTGGGACTGCACAAGGATGTCGTATCGTACTGGATACAAACTTGTCGTATAACGGGACGTATACTGCTGCGACATATCAGACAAGGATGGATAGCATGGGGATCACTTTGAATTTCCGCGGTGCGTATCTGAGTCTTCTGTAAGCGACAAGTGCTGAATGTTCTGGTTCTTGTAGGAACGAGTATAGCGGTGTATTTTATCCTCGCAAACGACGGCTATCTCCCCAGTACTACGACGCTTACAAGGTGTAATTTCATCCTCAATGAAGTAGTCGAGAAGCCATACTATCATGAGCCAGTCAAGGGCAGAGGGCCAGAATACAATGTTGAGGTGTTTAAGAAAGAGGGATTGCAGGATCAGACACATACGTTGATTATAGACACGAGGGGGAATTACCCGGTTTTTATTGCGTTTGACTATGCAACGTATACGTGAGTTTCTTCATCCTACCTCGTTTTTCTCTATGCTAAATAGACGCAGAGCGGAAGAACCAGATGAAGATACTGACAACCGTAACGGAACAACTACAGCGTCACCTTCCGACTCCAAGTCAGTTTCAAAATCGAGTTCGCCGACGGGTGTCATTGTTGGTGGTGTGATTGGTGGGCTCCTCTTCATCGGAGGCGCTCTTGCAGCATTTTTCCTTTGTCGAAGACGACGGAATGCCAAAGTCAAACAAGATGGCAAAAATATACACCTTGCCCCGTACATGGTGCAAGTGCAACCCCAATATGGAAGCGAGTTCAACCCACACAACGGCCCAGGTTCCCGCTCCAGCGGCATCCCCACTTATGCTCACTTCCAAACGTACTCGGCACACAGCAGAACCACGTTGGCCTCTTACCTCTCCGATTCCTATCGTTCATCTGGAAAAAGTGTCGTTGATGCAACGTCAACGACAACTTGACCGGATGAGAGAGGAGCTGATAACTTTGGAGTCGTCTCGAAGGGGCCGCTCGCACGTCCGGGGCCCCGCAATCTGATACTGAAATAGTTCAAAGTGGCAAGCATAGATGAGAACGCATCCGACTCGTCAACAGCAGGAAGGGTAGGAGGTGGTTGATATGCCTCCACCTAGGTATACAAGTGCGGGTGGACTCTTGATATGGGATATTTGGGCTTCGATAGGTGCCGTTTGCTGTAAAATAGGCTAAACATTCATCCCAACTTGATTGATCCTAACACTATCTGGCACCTAAATTTGTGAGTGGTGAGCTTGTATCAAGAAAAGAAAGAACTTCCAATGCCTTATACTTTTGAATCCTATCCCAAATCTGATTACGTTAATACCATCCAAACACGCATCATACCAAGGTGGTTGAAATTTAACTATTCGGAATGAAATTGGGGGGCCTAAACACGGCTTTAGGAACTTGAGGTTCTTGAATACATGTTGATAATATCTACACGATACACCGAACCGGGTGTAGCTTTTGCGACTTCCATTATGGGAACCACCGAGCTCAGCAGCCCAGCCGGTGGATATGTATTTCTCATGGCTCGAACCATTGATAATGTGGATTTGATGGCTCTCGCGATGCTCAAGGGCAACTCAGCCAATAGAGATATATTCCTCAAGGCTCTGGTGATTGATAAAGTGAACTCCCCGACTCCTGCGATGTTCAATGGCCTCTTGACTTTGTTGACAGGTGACTCCCCTACCTACTGCTTCAGTATGATTTTTTCATGACCTCGATCATTTGTTTATAGCTGGAAAAATATGGCGGATCAGTAGAGACGCAAGACAGTGCATGAGGAGACAGACACATGCCAAATATAGAGCTATTGTTGCTGCCGTGTATGTACTCTCTATCTGAGAAACACGTTCAATACTGACAATTTCCTGTAGACTCGAATCAGGGCTGTTGCATCCAGCCACCGTGATAGCCTCGAGAGTCTTACCTCTCATACTAGATCCACAAGGCTCTGGACTGTCCGAGTTGAAATTGACCTATCACGACCTTGATGTCAGCGGGTGCCTGATGTATGTGCATCCGAGCTAGACCATTTAAATCTTTGTACTTATGTTGAACTTACCAGGGATTGGCGCCAACGTAAGTCCATCGACAATGCTCAGCAAATGATTTCATGTTCCCGAGCAATATATCATTTCAGCAGGAGCCTACTCCAGACGCGGGGTAGCCTGAGCACTTGTGGATGCTGGTTCTTATCATCTCGATGACGAGCCAAAGTATCGCCAGAGACTATTCGCATAGAGGTTGGCACTCATCGACGTTTAACCCTCAACCTCCCTCAACTCTGGTTTGAGGTGTCAATAAAGAAATTGCTGTCTGCCGCCCGCCCGTCCCGTTTTATTCTAGTTTACACCCTTTACGTGTGGACTGTTCTTCCAGCTCCACCTCTCTCATCCTCATTGCCAGTATTTACCTTTGCAGGTAATATAGTCAAAATTGTTGCCGAATATACATATGTTGGAACTACCTACAAATCCGGGAACCACCGGTCATTTGCCACAGTGATGGCCCCTCACTATACCAACAAAGCAGCAAAGGCACGGAAAGTTGCTCATGCAGTCCTTCATATTGAGTCAATGATTGGTTCCCTACCACCAAATGAGGGCCGCATTCTGTATATGGACTGTGTAGACCCACATCTAATCTATGGATGCGAGATCAGCCTAGATACAAATGAGAGACTAGCAGAACCAATCAGAAAGATCCAAAACGACTTCATTAAACGATTATTAGGACTCACAAAGCACGTATCAACTGTAGCCTTATTCACAGAGACCAACCTTGCACCCATATTATTCCGAAGAACAGAACTAGCCCTCCGGTACTTGGCATATGCGCTCCAACGGCCATCTGATACTTATGTTAATGCTGCAGTCAGGGAAAGTATCAAAATGCACAAAGAACACAGAAAAGGATGGTATACAGACTTATTGAAAGTTCTGGAGCGTAACATG